GTAAGCCCCTGGGCACCTCCCAACTCAGTGTCACGAATATCACTGTTATTATTTATTTATATTGTTGTAGCACCTAGGAACCCCAGACGTGGCATTGTGCTAGGGGCTGCACAAACACAGACACGTCCCTGCCCCCAGAGAGCTTCCGATCTCCGCATAAGACGAGATCACAGATGGGTACAGACAGGGGAGTACAAGGCATCAGCGAGACAGTGCGGTCGGCGTGGCAGGCCGTGGCCTCAGCACACCAGCGGCATAGCTGTGGTCAATGTAACATCAGGCCTGTGCCGTTCGCTCCCCTCTTCTGGAGCTTGTGGAAGGTGTTCGAGCCAGTCCCACGCCTGCTCCTGGATGGGCCCCACTCTGCAGCTCAATGCCGTGCCATTGACCATTGCTCTGTGCGGGGCCTCCTAACCGAGCCAGGCTGAGCTCAGGGAGTGTCGAGGGATGCAGGGGGCTTGGATGTGGAGCTGCTGCTCAACGGCTGGGGCTCCCCAGACTCCTCTCAGTTCAAACTCTCTCTGTTTTCTCCCTGCAGGATCCCCCTCCATGCCTCAAGATGCTGTGCCTGGACCGCCGGGCTCTCTTCTTTCCTACCCTCCTCTCCCTCCTTTTCGCTCCCTCCTCTGGATTTTTTGGCTGGCTGAGGCAGGGAGCAGCTCCAGAAAGAGATCCCGTCCCCCCGACACCAGCGCCAGACTTGAGGAGTCTCCCTAATGCTCCCTTTGAGATGACGACGGGGGATGAGCGATTCCTGGCTGAGGCCAGGCACCTGGATCTGTCTCCACTGGACTCTTGTCACCACAAGGTGTCACTTATCTCTTTGTTGCAGGAGGGCACTAAATGGGCTGGGGCTGTACAGACAGGGAGGAGGGAATGGTCCGTGCCCCAAAGCACTTGCCATCCAAGGTCCAGATCCTGCAAGCACTTCTGCATGCGCTTCCCTGTGTGCAGGAGCCGTGCATTGCACTCAATGGGATTGTTCCCTGTGCACGGATGTGTCATGTTTGCATAATCAGGCCCTAAACAGAGCCGCAGTGAAAGGGAGTGTGGGAGGGGGACAACAACCAAGCAACGGTGCTCAGGCTGCTGGTGTCACTGTTCCATGTGGCCACAAATTGCCCTGTGTCCGTATGAGCTCTCCTCATCTGCCCTGCCCCTCGTTAGCTGGCTCGTTTCCTGTGAAGGGGGGTCTTGTGGGGGAGCCTTGAAGGTGAAGAGGGTCACCCTGTTTGTCCGCTTTGTCACCCAACCTCTCCAGATGTTCTTCCAGCCCACCCCCTACCCCCGGAACGCTCCCCAAGCCTGGAGCGGGTCCACGCAGCCTCTGCATGTTCACATCCCTCCTCCCCGCCAGGAGGCCTGAGGGAAACGAGCCACATTTATTTGTATATTAAGACGATGCCGTCTTCCTCCCCCTGCTGTGCAGCTGTTCCCGGGCAGAGCCCTTGCTGATGGCCTGGGGGTGCCAGCGGGGCACACGGTGCGGGCTCCTCGGTCAATCTGCTTCTCTGAAGGCTTTTAGGCTCTTCCGCATTTGCAGAGCAGCTAAAGTGGGTAGGGGCAGCCGGCCTGGCGGGAGGGGAAACAGCTGCTCTCAGACGGGGAGAGGAGCCGCCCACTGGGGTGGGAAGGAGGGGACTGAGCAGGGAAGAGGCATTGGGGTAACATCTCCAGGGGAGCAGAGGCAGAAGGTCACCAGCTGGCTTGACTGCGCTTTCACAGGGAGGGGCTGTGTGAGGAGGGGCTCCCCTTGTGTTGTGGGGTGTCTAGCATGCTTCTGGGTGCTGCCGAACTAATCAAGGGGTATGGAGGATAGTGGGGGGGGGGCGCGAACCCCAGGAACTGAGCTCTCCTCATTGAGTCACTGCCCAGCATTAATGATTCTCCTATCGTGGGGCAGCGGGTGAGGATTTAAAATGCAAGTCTAGGGGCAGAGGCCACATGTGGCCTGCAGATGAGGAGTTACCTTCTCTTGCACCTGGGAGGGGTCGGGGGGAGTGGGAGGCTCCAGCTTGCTGAAACCACAAGCTCTAACGAGCGCCTTCCCCTCTGCGTTGCTGCTGGCAGGTTATTGCCCAGATCCACTCCTCCTGTACGGACCTGACGGAAGAGGAACTGGCCAAGCTGGGGGTGTCCCTGTTTAACTGCCAAGCGAGCGTGGAAGGGCGCAGGACCTATCCCTGCACTGCAGACATGGTAAGACAGCGAGGGGCGGCTCTGAATTCATACCCTCCCATGCTGGCTGGGGAGAGGGCTGCAGCCGGTGCAAGCGCCCTGAGATTCTCCTCACGCGGGCCTGGGGAGTGAAGGAAGCCATGGAGCAGGGACTCCTGGGCAAGGCGACCGTGTCGCACCAGAGTGGCCCCGCCAGGAGTGGGACTCGCATCACCCTAGGCCTGCGAACAGACATCGCGTGGTGGGAACAACCTTCAGCCATCCCTCACCTTAGCCAAGTTTCCCTGGGGATGAAAGGAGAGGCCTCCATATCCTCTTGCTGACGTCTTTCGCCCCGCAGCCACCCTTCTCCCCCATCCATCTTCTTCCCTCCCCCCACAAACATCTTCTCCCCCTGCACAGATGGAGCTATTGAAATGGGCTGGGGGTGCTGATCCCCCGGGATGGCTGCACGGCTAGCTTGGTTCATGTTCCCGACTGGCTCGTTGCACGTAGCCGGGATATCGGGACAGCGAGGCCAAGAGCATTTCAATGATAGAACCTCTTGGGTGTGAGAGATGAAGACCCGTTAGGTGGACTGGTCCATCTCGCACCCAGTGCAGGACTGGTTCCTATGATTGATCTTGGAGCATTTTGTGCCATCAGCCTCTTCAGTGTCCCAAAATGGTCTCCTGCCAGTTGCCTTGGGTTCCACAGCCCTGGAGAGTTCGCGACGCAGCATCACCCTATGTGTTCCCCCTCCTTATCTCATCCCGTCCTCCGTCTCACACGTGGGTATTGCCCTGTGTAATTCCTCTCCCTCTGTGGTGCTCACCTTTCAAATGTGAGGCGCATCGTCTGCCTAGCTCACTATCAGTTAGCTACGTAGCCCTGCATACTTATTTATTCCAGCCTTTCCCTCCAGCCCTTGATCACGTCTGTTGCTTTTTTCCCCAACTCCCTCCAGTGTCAGTCTCTTTCAGTCCCATGGTGTCCAGGACCGAGCACAAAATCCCAGGTGCGCCCACGCCAGCGCTGTGTCAATCCATTTGTGATAAGCAGCTCCTGCATAGCACTGTTCAGCTGTAGGGTTCTAAGTGTTCTGCAAAGGTGAGTCAGTGCAACTCGCTCTCTTTTTTAAAAAGGGGAAATTGAGGCACGCAGGGATGTGACTTGCGTACAGTGGTGAAGCCAAGAATAGACCTCGGGTCTCCTGATTCCCAGTCCGATGCCTTGTATAGTGGGCCATGCTGCCTAAGATCTAGCATCTGTCTGCCCTTGAGATCTGCCCATGGTAGGGTACTTTGGTCTAACACGGTAGTGCTTCAGCTGGGTGAGAATAGGTCGGTCTTGCTTGTGAGGATAATTCACCCAGCTTGGTCCTATGTTTGAGTCCTAAACTGTCCATAGCTGTGGAGGCTATTATCTTGTGGGGACCCAGGACAGCTTTGCCGTATCACGACCTGCTTCTCATATTGTAGTTTCCTAGATTAAAGCCAAAAGGGACCATTCGCTCATCCAGCCTGACTTTCTGCATGTCACAGCATGTCGAACTACACCCACTTACGCTTGTATCGAGGCCAGCAGCATGGGTGTGGCTAAAGCATCTCTTCCACAAAGGTAGCCGGTCAGGATCCGAAGACACCAAGAGATGGAGGATCCGCCACATCTCTGGGGAGCTTGTTCCCGATAGTTAATCACCCTCACCGTTAAAAATGGGTCTTCTTTCCAACTGGACTTGGTCTGGCTTCAGCTCCCAGCCTTCCGTTCTTGTTCTGCCTTTCTCTGCTGGATTATAAAACCCTGTGAAGTTACTGATGCGCCATGATCAGGTCACCTCTTGCTTTCTCTGGAGTACTGCCATGCAGTTCCTGGGCTAGAAGGGATGAGGGGCATTGGGAAGGGACCTCTCCTGTGGCTTTATTGAACCTAGTCCTGCTTGGCTGTCTTTCTAACCAGCCCCTCGCGGAATGCACCGCCGACATGGACCCCGACACCTGGAACGCCTACCACATCGTCAGCAACCGGGCCCGCGCCGTCTGCTACTCCACCCGCCAGATGCAGTTCAAGCGCCGGACGGAGCACACGGTCAACACCCTGGTCTCCGCCGCCGTGAGTCAGCTGGAGGCCATGAGGCTTCTGAAGGTGGGTCGTGGCGGG